CATGAATACAATTTTAAACCAGAATTTGTTGTATAATCTTCTTTTAAATCCCAAAGAGATTTAGGTCTAGTGTAATGTTTTATTGGTTTCTCAGATATCTAATTAAAAATATAATATTAATAATACAATATAAAAAAATTAATTAATTGTTATTTCTTAGCAATATATTTTTTAATTCATTATATAGTTACATAAGTATAAATAGTAAAACAGTTAAAACATCAGATCTTAATCAAAGGTAAGTTTTAAATATCAAGATAAAATCACCTCAATTGGTTTCATATAAGATTGGAGTAATTGTCTTCGTTTTCGTCTAATCATTTTTGAAGTTTTAAGCGGTGAAGCTTTGAGATGAGAAAATTGTTCATCATGTATTTGAACAAGATGATTAATTGGATGATCAATATGATGTACATCTAATTTAGGAGTTTCATTTGCTTCACAAGATAATGCAAAAGCTAAAAGTTTAGTTTCAGTACTATTAGGTTTAACACATAATGCTAATTCCCGTTCATGACGACTCATACAACTAAAAAAAAGTTATTATAATATAAAACAYAGGTTTAAAATTAAAATGTATTAAAAATAATTTTTATTACTCTGAGACTTTTAAAGAAGGTTTTTGGTTAGAACTAGAATTTAATTGATTGGAAGATGCTTCATTGACTTTGGTACAAAACTCTGGCAATGTAATTTCTCCTTTGGTAATTTCGGTAATGGAAACATACTCATGACTTGCAATAAAATTACGCTCTTGTCTTAAATGCCTAAAATTAAAAATAATTTATTTCAGTACATAATTTTAATTGTAATAAATAATTTTTATTAGATCATAATATATTATTATTGGGAGAAAGAAAATTCAAATAACTATTGTAGTTTACTATATTTATAACGAATATTACTTTTCTAGAGTTAAATGTTTATCAGATTGTTTAAAAGATAATTTTTTTATCAACAAATCGCCTTCAGACTCAACATGGCTTTCAAGGCGTTCAAAATCAGTTAGATTCAAGTATTTGGTAGAATGTTTTTCTCTGTTTTTTTTTACTGCATCCATATTTGTTTTTATCTATAATAAATAAATAATATACATTAGTAGCATTATTTAATAATTAAAGAAATTATATAGTTTAGGTCAATAATTTAGTTACCAACTATGACAAATATTTTTATTTTTATTTTAACTATTTAATACCTGAAATATTATRAAATAGCAGCTAATGAATAATATACTAACAGTTACAGTTTAATATGTAACAAGGAAACAGTAAATACTAAACAGTAAAAAAGTCTAAAGTAGTAAAATTCAAAATTATTAAACAATTAACAATRTTTTTTTCTAGATTTTATATTATCTACCTATGTATTTATTTGATATTCCTGCTAAGTGATAAAGAAATGATAAATACAAAATACTCAAAATAGAATTATGATAAATAGATAGTAGTTCAATGGTATACTAACTAAGGTCAGTTGGTGTATGACCATGGTTAATTAAGATCAAAAATAAATTCAAAGAGTTTACCATACTATCCTTAGATATCTGATAAGCGGTAGTACAATTCTTATCAAATTTTAAAACCAAATTTAATTGAAATAAAAAATAATAATGTGCGATTTTAATAAAGATTAAATAAGAATTAAGAATATTTTTGTTTAATATCAAATATTGAAATATCAGTTATAAAATAGGTTGTTACGACTTACGGTATATCTTACAAAAATGTTGACTCTACGTAGAGCTACCCGCGTTCTACAAGTTTTAAAAACCACCCAAAGTAAGTTAATTCAATCAAAATTAATAAAATGTATCCATTTTTAAATTGTGAATGTTTCACTTAAATATTTATAGACAGATCATATTTAATATATTTTTTTAATTACAATCATCAACTTATATTTTTTAATATGTTACAATACCGACAATTTCTTTTATCCATAATAAAAAAAATATTTTTTGTTTTTGAATAGAATGCGAACAATCATTTCATAGATGGTTAGGTCCAACATTGAGAGAATTGAAACGCAGGAAAGATAGTCAAGGCCCTGAAAAACCAGCTCACCGCAAAACATTCCTTGAATGGTGAGAATTAATATTTTGGTTATTTTTTTTATTGTAATTATTGTAATAATAAATTAATAACCATAAGTATAGATAACTTTCAATTTTAATTTATTTTATCTAGGAATTATGATACTGAGATCTATGCATTCAGTAAGCGTTTAGGTGAAGAGTTCAATAATGATTTACTGCAACAGGCATTAACCGAACGATCATATATTATTCGTGAGGAAGAAAGACAAAAGAATGTTGGTATAGAGCAACCTACTTTAAATTTATCTGATAATACACAATTAGTTTCCAAGGGTTCAGATTTTATCGATGACATAGTCAAACGTTATTTGCGTACAGTTTTACCTAGATTACCAGAAGAAGGAATCATGTATGTATACTCAAAGAGTACATAAAGTATTGGTATAAGACTGTTTAATTGTTTCTTTATTATTTCAGAGAAATTCACAAGTATTTAACAAGTATTGAAACATTATCTCATGTCTCATTCCATATTGGTACATCTGATTTGATTCTTTGTGCTGTTAGTATAATATGTGAATACAAATGTACCTATAAGACACATTATTTTAAATATATAATTGATTATTATTTTATTTATAGGATTTTCCAGTGGAAAAACTTACTTTATCTAATGTACTGAAATCTATAATAGCTGCATTGATTGAAAGTTCTGGTAATAGTCGAGCTGCATTATTTGTGCGAGATTTTATTTTAACACAAATAGCTGATAAGGACTTGCATCAGTTTTGGGAACCTGATGAACCTATTAAACTGTTATCAGAAATATTAGCTAGAGATGGTATTCAATCTCCTGAACCTAGACTCATTGGATGCTCTGGCAAAAATACAATATTAGCATGCTTTAGAGTAGGTTTATATACTCCAAATGATAAACAAATGATTGGACTTGGTAAGTTTGATATTTTCATTGAACATTATTAATTATGTTATTTAAAATTTATTTTTATTTTTTGATGTTTTATTGGAAATAGGTTTTGGAGAAACTGTAGATATTGCACACGAAATGGCTGCAAGAGATAGCTTACGTAAATTATTTGGCACCTCGGATACCATTTTACTTCCATTTAATCTTAAATTGGATCAGTTGTGTGCAAGTTCTGCTAGGAATTTATCTCTAAATGAATGGTCACAAAAAACATTACCAGTTCATCCATCACATTTTGAACTTCGTCAGACCAAAGAAATATGTAGTAATTAAATGTATTAAATTATTAACATCAAATTAGATTTTATAATTAAATTTGTATTTTAAGTTTCACAATAAAAATATATCAAGTTTTAAAAATTATATTGTTAAACTTTATTATACATGCAGCTGAAAAAAAAAATTAATGACAAACAATCAACCATGATTTTGTAACATTTATTGTGTTTAAACTGATATTAAAATCTTGACTAAAAGATTTATACTTTAAAACAAAGTAATAA